AGAAGTAGGTCACAAATAGTGCTATTCATTGAGTTCAGAAGACGCTTGCACCAAATGCTTTTGTCAAAGTGGGTCAGCGCAGGGATAGTTGCTAATTAGGGAAGAAATATTTTACACTTACAGCACATGAAAGTAATTACATTTATTTTCTGGTTACAAGGGATAGTGCCTCTTTAATAATTACCGCACATGGGTCCGAATTCAAATAACCAAATAAGGCTATAATATTTATATAACCAAATATGGCTAAATAACCAAATACGGCTACATAAATAACCAAATATGACTACATAAATAACCAAACATGGCTACATAAATTACCAAATATGGCTACATAAATAACCAAATATAACCAAATAAGGCCACATAAATGAAAGGCAAATTGATATATTCCATGATTATATTTTAAGGAGCCGAAAAATGTTGTGATATAGAAATTTCAGATTAAAATGTCGACTTTATGAGCTTGAAAACGACAAGAGAATATTTGCCGAAACAATGTGGTATATGTATAATAAACCAGGGATTGCAATACATATAAAAGGTGGTAACTTTTTAATGTGTTCTATCTCTAAATGCCACTCCAGGATTATAAATGCAGATTACATCACATCTTGGTCTCCATGGTGACTGAATCTATTTATTTCTGTTTCAGAAGATGGGTGAAAATCTTAGAAACTAAAATTCAAATTGGCCATAATTTACCTTTACCAAAATGAATTAACCACCTTGGGAACCTATGTTGAATTACACTGTATTACAGATTTTAAAAACCCTACTACAATAGGCAATCTATGACAAATCCTGAACTTGGGCACCCCAACTTTATTCTTACCAATATTACCTTTGGATTGGCCAATTTTAATCATTTTTGATTGAAACTTTTTCCTGAAAAGAAGACATTTGATTTGAATGTTCTTAAAGTCTACATTTGCCTTTTATTTTTGGGTATATTGTCTTAATAAACAATACCAGCCAATTTTCATTTAAAGGATTAAATTCGGATCCATATACCGGTAGATACAATATATAGAATTAAGATGATTAAATGCAAATATATTTTAAACAAAAATAAATTCTATGATACATAATAACAATAATAATAATAAGTTGAAGGAATGTAAAAATGTAAGCAATCCATTCTCCCATAATTTGTTTTCTTTTCGGAGCTCAGGACCCTGTTTTTCGAAATCTTAACTAAAGATAAAATCCAAATTTTAGTAGATAATTCAATTTTGATCGGCTAAGCACTAAAATCAATCTAATATTATCCAATCAAATTACCAAAGATAAAATCCAAATTTTAGGAGATAATTCAATTTTGATTGGCTAAGCACTAAAATCAATCTATTATTATCCAATCAAATTACTAAAATTTGGATTTTATCTTAGTTAAAATTTCGTGAAACAGGCCCCAGGACCATAAAACTTTTTTTTTTTCAACTTAACTCGACTCCAATAGCATAAAAATTTCTATTTCAGTTGTAATAAGGGGTGGATGGGGGTGGATGGTGTTGGATAGTCTAGTGTTTTAACACATGCACGTGAAATCACAAGATTTATCATTGACTCAAACCTCATTGGTTTTCTCCGGGTCCACCAGTTTCCTCCAAACGGATAGCAATAGCATAAATATTCCTATTTCAGTTGTAATAAGGGGTGGATGGGGGTGGACGGGGGTTGGTGGTGTACAGTCTAGTGTTTTAACACATGTGCGTGAAATCACAAGATTTTTCTCCGGGTCCCCCACTTTTCTCTCATTACTAAAGGCCCCTACTCGCAATCAAATTATTGAAACAAAATTGATTGACCTATATGTTAATCCCGAAATGACCTAGTTTGTGTGAGTGGACATCTCTCTCTTCTTTTCTCTCTCCCTCTCTGCAATAAATGTACAGAAAGGAAAAAGAATTTAAGGTCTTGGCAACCTGTCATTTTGAGATCAACATATGGTCATGTACAATGCATGGTAGGAGAATTTGCCTAATGTGCACATGGCTTTTTGGCCAATTTGAACAACTAGAAACACTTTCTTGTCAGCCCTTAAAAATAACCCAAAGGGTTCTTCTCAAACCTTGAGATCATTTGAACCTGGGATATTTTGGTCAAGGGTCCATGGACCCCTATAAAGTATGTAGAAACTAATGCAATCTAGATCAGGTTTAGGTGAACCTTTTGACTATCATAGACCCCTAAAGTGTGTATAAACTAATGAACCTACATCTGGCCCAGGTGAACCTCTCGACTACCATGGCCCACAATAAAGTATGTAGAAACTAATGCACCCTACATCTGGCCCAGGTGAACCTCTCCTCGACTACCACGAACCCGTATAAAGTATGTAGAAACTAATAAAGGCTACATCAGGCCCAGGTGAACCTATCGACTACCATGGACCCCTAAAGTGTATAGAAACTAATGCACCCAGGTGGACCTCAGCAGGTGGCACAAGTGTACCTGAGAAGGTGATTTACAAATTTGTGTAATTCATAGGCTGAGCAAATTTGTTTTAAAGTTTTATGTTCCTGGCTCCCAGTAATTAATTTTTTTTTTATTTATTTTTATTTTTTTCACAAAAAAATGCATGAAGGACGAACTGTCCATATCATTATTACTAGAATTAATGTAATTAACATTCTGGCTTAATCCATCACAATAAACAATTACCATAAATGAAGGTCCTATTAATCAACAATGACAAGAGTGTTATTTTGTCACTAGTGCCTTAACTTAAATATACATTATGCAAGACCTAAATCTCCCTATTGTCGGTCTTTCTTTAGGCCTGAAATGATTTCTAAATTATTAATTAGACATTAATTAACTTATCCAGGCCATAATCAGCTCTTGATGGCATCAGATTTCTCCAATATTAAATAGATTAAAACAGTCCGGCCATATTTTGATTTAAGCTAAAAATGGTGGAGCGAGACTTAGCTTCGAACAACCAGTACGGTGGTTGAAATTAATGCACACGTCTTGTCAAACCTTCAAAGGCTAATATTTTCGCTCGCAATAGAGTAATTTGAATGAAATTTTCACATTATTCATTTTACATTATCTATTTTCGAAGTATTATAGCAAGAATGGCTAGCTCTTTACCTAAATCTTACATAATGTATCTTTAAAGTATTGTAAAGTGTGACCGTCAAAGAAAGATATGTTATAGATATGCATATTCTACACATGTCCAAATTTTAAAGGATTTCATTAAATTTTTTTACAAACTTAGTCATAATTTGATAAAGCGATTGATTCAAGATAACATATCTTTCTTTCCTTGTCGGTCATCATATCCAAAATTTAAATGATATTTTGATAAAGCGACACAGCATATCTTTTCTTGTTGGTCACTTTTTGAAATACTTTGGGCACTATTTACAATAAAAAGATCTCTTGCCGCAGATTAATTGGACCGTAAATGAACAATCCCTGAATAACTAATTATCTCATAAAATATGAAATATATCAACATTGAACACATTTAAATCAATAGACTCAATTTTCGTAACATGATTCAGGGTACATATATATGTTATCAATACATGTTCCAGGGCACATATATCTATGTAATCATTCATTATCCAGGGCACACATATATTAAATCATACATGTTCCAGGGTACACATTTATTTAACCATACAAAGTTTGATGAGCAATATACAGTGTGAATAATAAACATTTAATGTATTTAATATAACAGAAAGAATAGACAAGAAAAATATATCTAGGTCTTCCCCCAAAACAGTGGACTAAGAGGAAGGAGTGCCCAGATAAAATAACTTTTCTACTATCCAATTCATTTTTATCTTTAAAATACTGTAAAAAAACTGAATAAATCTACACCAGTAATTGCCCTCCTCTGGCCATTCGTTAGTTGGGCATATTGTCCGCTTTCACCAATGGTGATATCTCAGACAATCTGTCTGACCTCATCACTGTTTTAGTCATTCAGTTTATGACCTTGATTAATTATCCTGTAAGATAACCATGTGATCAGTAATATGCTTTATTTACTCAGGGGAACCACACTGGCTCAGTAAGGCGCTGACCCGCAAACCGGAAGTCCCAGGTTTGATCCTTGTGTTGGCCAATAAGGTTCCTTAGGGTTTTCTGGTGTGGTTTCCCTTGTACAGTATTTTATTTACTCAAGTTGAATACAGTATTTTATTTACTCAAGTTGAATACAGTATTTTATTTACTTAAGTTGAATACAGTATTTAATTTACTCAAGTCGAATGCCAACTTAAGTTGAATACAATATTTTATTTACTTAAGTTGAATACAGCATTTTATTTACCCAAGTTAAATACAGTATTTTATTTTACTCAAGTTAAATACAGTATTTTATTTACTCAAGTTGAATACAGTATTTTATTTACTCAAGTTAAATACAGTATTTTATTTACTCAAGTTGAATACAGTATTTTATTTACTCAAGTTAAATACAGTATTTTATCTACTCAAGTTGAATACAGTATTTTATTTACTCAAGTTAAATACAGTATTTTACTTACTCAAGTTGAATACAGTATTTAATTTAGAATCATTGCACATATCTTAATAATTGTTTATTTATCTACTAAAGTCAGATACAGAATTTATTTACTCAAGTCAAATACAGAATTTATTTAGGGTACTCAAGTCAAATACAGAATTTATTTACTCAAGTTGAATACAATATCATATTTAGAATCATTGCACATATTTCATTCATTGTTTATTTATTTACATACATACAATGTAGAATAATTTTAAATTGAACATTTACAATTTATACAGCAGTGTTTACACAACATTTATCACAAGGCCCTTATATATAATATATAGCAAGGCCCTTCTATATAGCATAGCAAGGCCCTTATATATAACATATAGCAAGGCCCTTATATATAATATATAGCAAGGCCCTTCTATATAGCATAGCAAGGCCCTTATATATAACATAGAAAGACTCCTATATATAACATATAGCAAGGCCCTTATATTACTTATATACAACATATATCTAGGGTATAGCCAGGCCCTTATATATAATATGCATTGTAAAGGCTTTGCTGTAACATTGGTGAGGCTCGGGTTGAACCCTGCTATACAGTAAGATCCAATTGTCAATTGATTGTCAAGGGGCCTGTTTAAAAGCTTATGTAAAGTTATATGCCAGGGGCCTGTTTTAGGATGTGCATGTAAAGATAGTCCTGGATTTTTACAAAACCTGGCTTGTGTGTAGGACTGATTATCTATTTTTAAACTATTATAGCAAAAACGGTCAGCTCTTTATCTAAATCTTAAATAATGCATCTTTAAAAGAAGAAAATCGTCGCCATCTAATGAGACAAAAAAACCCAAAAAAAACATGGTAAGGACTTAGGACACCACAGATAATGTCAATTGTATCAACATCTTAAAATGTTTTCATTTTTTATTTTATTTGTCAATTTCAGCATCAGTTATTATTCAATAATAGCATGCCTTTTTTAACATATGACTAGACATTTAATTAAAACTATTAATCAACTAGATAATTAGGAAATAACAAGCAAGGTACTTTTGTTTTTAGACTGTCATAAGGAAATACTGGAATGGCGTTCGATATCTTGGCCTTCTGTTTTATCATAGTTGATCATACAATAGTTATAAACTCTGGCTATTATTAAGGGTAGATAACTGTAGCTGACAAAAGGAAACACGGGAATGGCGTTTATGTATATAAACGTATGTTTATAATCTGTCAGATCTAAATATTAAGGTCACCTGCAGATTTTGTCAAGGTCACTTAAATGTAAACAGGGTTAGGGCACGTGATTGTTGCCGAGGATTGTGGGTTAGGGTTAGCGCTAGCCCTGTTTACATCTCATGACCATGACAAAATCTGCAGGTGGCTTTAATATTTAGATCTAATCATTCATAATCCCAATGTTAATGGAAGATATTAGCCTACTACTGACTTAGCCAGCTGGTTTTTCTAAGGGAATTTCTAAACCACTGGAATGAGACAGTATGTATTTGTTAAGTTTTCAATTATCTGGATGACCAGATCATTATTCATGATTATCCAGCCTATCCTTGTGGGCTTTTATCTTATGTGGATAACCAGGTCAATATTCATGATTATCCAGTCTGTCCTTGTAAGTTTTTACGTTACCTGGATAATCCAGACTGGGACAGTATGAGGTGTGGAGTTCTAACCTTATCTTCTGAATAAGCTGGTCATCATTCATGATTATCCAGTATATCCTTGTGAGTTTTTATCTTATGTGGATAAGCAGGTCACTATTTATGATTATCCAGTCTGTCCCTGTAAGTTTTTACATTACCTGGATAATCCAGACTGGATATGTGTTTGTGGAGTTTTAAACTTATCTGCTGGATAAGCTGGTCATTATTCATGATTATCCAGTATATCCTTGTCAGTTTATCAAAAGTTAACTATCAGATAAATTTTATTATATCAACTCTGTATTAAAATCTAAACTAAATCAAACTTACTCTTGGAATATTCGAATTCATTATTGAATTAAAACAGGAGTAGTCGGACAATTTTGTCTTTAAAGGGAGGTAATTCAAACAAACCTAATGTAAGTTATCATCAGCACCAAGAGAAGAATGGATTTCGACTAGAAATACTTTGTGTAAAGGTGTCGCTATCGCTGCGTATTCGGCCAAAGCCCCCTTTATTCCTCTCGACAGTGACTGCTCGCATCTGAACCAATTCAACTGGTGATTTACCGTCTTTTAATGCTTGGGATAAATTCAATATCTGAAAATAAATTACAAAAATAATGAAACAACAATGAATGAATTAAATGGGGAGGGAGAGAGGGAGGGAGGGGGTGAGAGAGAGAAAGAGAAAAAGAGAGAAGGGGGTTTAACGTCCACTCGACACAAACTAGCTCATTACGGGACTAACAATAATTTTAATTCAATAATTTGCTTGAGCAGTGGGAGGATCCAATGACAGACCTTATGATACAGTGCACATGTGCTAACCATTTGGCCATCCAGCCCCCTTCATTGAAGGCAATGATTGTCTAAGGTAATGTCTATCAAAGAATTCAACCACTCTAAGCCTATTAAATACGACCATCGGCATGACACTACTTCATCGCAATGATACAAACTTACACACAAAAATAGCAATGATACTACCTCAAGCCATTTTCAATAATTCTGGATAATTCCAATTGAAATATCGATACTATGTGAAAAGAAAGGGTAAATAACTCTACCTGTCCTCTCATCACAGCCATTTGCTTGAAAAATGTTCTTCTATCAAAACCTTTATCAGTCTGGAATAGAAAAAACAAATGTTCACATCAGTAGGCAAAATAAAATCTATTTTGTGTCAAATTTTGGTGACTTCCTATTCTTTATAAATTTGGCTTAGTTAAAGATACATTATGGGAGATAAGATAAAGAGATGCCAGTTCTCGCTATAATAGTTAAAAACTAGATAGTGTAAAGGTAATTTGCTGAAAATTTCAGTCAAATTGATCCACTATGAGCCGAGAAAGAAGCGGGTGAAATTTTTGCATAGTCTCTGTCATGATTACTAAAATCATTAATATAAACAGCATAGTCTCGATTATCCACTTTTTTTGATTTAATTATCAATGGCCGTTAGCGGCATATAGGAATCCAATCCAGCCAACATCGAAGGCTAGCCTTGACATCGAGAGTTTATTATGGTCTGGATAAGTTAATTAATGTCTAATTGATAATTTAGATAACATTTCAGGCGTAAAGAAAGACTTGTAATAAGCAGATTTAGCTCTTGCATAATGTATGTTTAAGCCTATCCCACAACCTGCTGTATGTGCTACTATCAGGGAAATTTTAGTAAACCCATACTTTAAATATAAAATAAATTTACCATGTTTTAAATATAAAATAAACTTATTTTAAAAAAAAAAACCCCAAAAAACAAACTTACTTTAAATATAAAATAAAGAGAGAGAGAGAGAGAGAGAAATGGGGTTTAACTTCCACTCGACACAAACTAGGTTATTTTAGGACTAACACATGGTTCAATTCTATTTCAATAATTCGCTTGCGTGTGAGGGTCTTTAGCAGTGGGAGAACTTACAGTACTTTAAATAAAAAAAACAAACTTAGTTTAAATAAAAAATAAACTTACTTTAAATAATTCAAACAAATCATCACATAAATCTTGTACAAAATCTACATCATTAAGTTGAGGCAGTACTAATTCTTTTATTTCATCGGAGAACGGCACTTTAGCTTGTGGTAGCCATGCCCAGTGGTACGGATCTAGAATAATAAACAAACCAACTAGAATATGGGGAAAAAAACCCACCATACATCCTTCTCCCTTAGTGTTTAAACAGTTTGCCATGCAAACATACACACACCCAAAGCCATTGATAATAGATTGCAGAAAGATGGGTTAATATAATTGCAGTCTTTAAAGTGATTACTATATTTAAAATTAGGGGGCATAACTCTCGATGTGATAACTGAAACATCAATGGTTCTAATCAGAAATGTGATAGCAACCTTTTCCTGCGGCTCTCATAACGCCTTCGGTTTCCTGAGGCTGTTACAATACCTCCCTCTCACAGGGAGGCCTTCGGTTTCCTGTGGCTTTTTGACCTCCTGTGGTACCTGCTATGTTTCACTCCATACAAGCCCTTCCTTTTCCTGGATTTCACAAATCGCCTCACTCCGGGGAAACCCCGTCATTTACCGAGGTGCTCACAATGCCTCCCCCGCCCACAGAGACCTTTCTTTTACTTTGTCTCTAACAACTCCTCCATCCTAGGGAGCGCTTCCTTTTCCTGGGGCTTTCATAACACCTCCATCACAGGAAACCCCCCTTTTCTGGGAGCGCTTCCTTTTCCTAGTGCTCGAACAACAATTCATTCCGAGGACTACTTAATTTACTGTGGCTCTCCCAAAACCGTCCTCCCTGGGAGCCCTTTATTTTCCTGGGGTTCTAACAATGCCTTCCTCCCGGAGAGGCCTTCATTTAATCATTGTACTATGACTCTCACAAAAGCTGTCCTCCCGGGGAGCCCTTCCTTTCCTGAGGTTCTTACAATGCTTCCCTCCCCGGGAGCCCTTCATTTAATCATTATGCTGAGGCTCTCTCAAAGCTATCCTTCCGGAGAGCCCTTTCTTTTCCTGGGTATTCTTACAATGCCTCCCACCCGGAGAGCCCTTCATTTTACTGTGGCTCTCCCAAAGCCGTCTTCGTGGAGCCTTCCTTTTTCTTAATGTTAAGGCACTTTGATAGCTCGAAAGTACAAGAACATCTTTGAGAATAATTCAGTTTAAGCATGTTTTATTACGTACAAGAATAGATTAATAACTTACAAGCTCTCCATTCATCTGGATGTTTATAAGGAAAGGCAAGACCATTATCTATAGCAGCAATACTAATCTCAGGATTCTCCACCATACTCCATTCTTCCTGGGGAAATAAAAAACACTTGAAATGTTAATAGGACATTTATAATCTTTAAAGATACATTGTGTAAGATTCAGATAAAGAGAAGGAGAGAGAGAGAGAATGGGGTTTAACATCCACTCGACACAAGCTAGACCACTTTGGGACTAAAATATGGTTCAATTTTATTTTAATAATTCGATTGCGCATAGGGGTCTTTAGCAATGGAGGGCAACTGGAGGACCCAGACAAAACCAATCAGGCTGCACAGTTGACCCTACCCCTTGTCACGTACATGCGGGGAAAGTAAACCGCGGCACTTGACTCAATGACAGACCGCCTGATCGACGTGCACACGATAACCCCCATTTACAGAAGAGTTAGCCGTTCCTGCTGTATAATAGTTCAAAAATAGATAATACAAAATGAATATGAAAATGTCAATCAAATTACTATATTCTGAGCGAAGATATTAGCCTTTGAATGTTTGACAAGATGTGGTCATTGATTGTAACCAATGTACTGGTTGTTCAAAGCTAAGGCTCATTTCTCCATTTTTAAATTCAATCAAAATATGGCCGAACCATTCTAATCTACTTAATATCGGAGATATCCGATGGCATCGAGAGTTGACTATTGTCTTGTCGTGTTAATAAATGTCTAATTAATAGTTTTATGTAACAGTTAAGGCCTACAGAATGAAATGAAATGAAATGGGAGTTTAACGTCCTACTGTTCTGCTCCTATGCTGGGCTAATGAAGACAGGCATACGCCATACAGTGTGCTATGAGGGAAATTTTACCCGGACAGCGACACTATGTCCCACTCTTATATCGAATTCCATCTGTCAAGGAATCTTTCACATGCACGTCAATGTTTACACAGGACCTCGGTTTTTTGTCCCATCCGAACGACTACACAGGTGTACTTGTCAGGCCCTCTGTCCTGCATCACTGACAAGGGGGATCCATGCAAGAAAATCTGGATGAACTTTCTCGGCCAATGCAGTGATCAAACACCCGACCTCCAGGCTAGCGAGCCAGTGTCTTACCCACTTAGCCACTGTGACCCCCCCAAGGCCTAAAGAAAGACCTACAATTGGAAGATTTAGCTCTTGCATAATGTATGTTTAAAGGATATTTAATGATTGAGGAAAAACATTAAACAGAACACACTTTTTATCAAATGTGCTTGATAACAATAAGAGGATACTTTTAGAATAAAACCAGTGATTAATCTCTCATAAAATTTATACTAGTTAGTACACATGCTTGATCATAGCAAATCCGAGCTGTTGCCGATAATTCAAGAACAAACAGAAATGGAACGGGTTTTTACATCCTACTTTTCTGCATCAATTGGGCTAATAAAGACGGCATGTGCCACACAGATGATTAAGAGGGAAATTTTGCTGGGACAGTGGTGTGACAGCCTACTCGTTATAACTAATCGTAATGGTACTTACATCCCCCTGATCAGCTGATGCTGGTTCGTAATTAATTAACCAATTATCGTTACCCCTATCTGTAAAAAAAAGCATTAAGATAATAATAATAATATCATATATTTTAGATATGTGTTACCATCTATACAACAGTTTTAAAGGTCACCGGAAAAGGTTCAGAAATTTTTTAAATAATGCAAGTAATTATGTCAACATATCTTTTCCATAAGTATAACACGAATCCGAATGTCAATATTACCTGCAACAGGTAAATTTCAACGTTAGCAATTTCCGCCATTCTCCGTGGGTAGTCGTAACTTTCCGTAAATGTGACGTCATTTTAGTCCTTCTGCTCATATTCTAGTCTATATTTCTATGTGCAGAAGGACTAAAATGACGTCACAGATTGCTTATTGACGGAAAGTTCCGACTACCGACGGAGAACGGCGGAAATTACTAACGTTGAAATTTACCTGTTGCAGGTAATATTGACGTTCGGGCTCGGGTTATACTTATGGAAAGGATATGTTGACATAATTACTTGCATTATTTTAAAAAAAAATGATGCTTTTCCGGTGACCTTTAAGATATTCATATGTACAGTTACATAAAAGTAAAATAGAGAGAAAGAGACAGAAATGGAGTTTAATGTACACTCGACACAAACTAGGTCACTTTGAGACTAACATATGGTTTAATTTTATTTCATTAATTCACTTGGCCGTAGGGGTCTTTAGCAGTGGGAGGAAACTGGAGGACCCAGAGAAAACGCATGAGGTTGGACAGGCGACCTACTCTATGTCACGTACAACCGGAGAATCAAAACCATTCGGCCATCAACCTCCCTTCATAAAAGTAAAAAGTATATGCCAGTCGATAACAACTTATATCACATTATATCACATTATTATCAAACTCTTTCTTAATTGAAACATCTTAAAAATAGTAATTAAAAATAACGCTTATATCTGTCAGTTAAAAATACATCCTCAACTTCTCCTCTATCACAGTAAATACAAATACCTTCACAGACATTTTCAGGAGATTTTGATATATATTTGCTATAAATCCCAAATGCAAGCGCTGAAATAAGCGTCCGGACACGGACAATGTCCGGGCGAATTGACCCCTTTTGACAGGCCAAATTGCCTTTCGTCCGGACATAATTGTCCGACCGTGTTTTTGTAATAAAACATTATGTCAAAAATATTTGAGTCGATCGCTATTTATTATTAGACTCGAAAGTCCAGAACCAAAAATATCAATGACCCGAGTCATAGTGAAAATGTTACTATTTATATCTCGGCCGCGTGCAGATAAAATCTTCAATAATTTTTAGAATCGACTCTTTTACGCTGGTTATATCAACGACCCGAGTCATAGTAAACATATTACTATTTATACATGTATCTCTCTCGGCCACGTGAAGAAAAAATAATGAATAATATTGAGAATCGGCTCTTTTACACTGGTTATTCGAGTCTCGTAGCTAGCTTTGCGTTACTTTCATATATGATTACCGGTAGCTCTAAATCACACCTAACATGACATGTAATTATATAAATTATTAGTTATAAAAGTAATAATATTTTAAAATTAGTTTACAAGAAAATGTCCAAGTTGACTATGGATGTAATTAGGGACAGATTTTTTATACGAAAATATCTCACTTTGTTGGACACTTCCAATGTGAATGTAAATAGAAGAGCCGTGAAAACATGTCGAATAAAATAACTTCTTACTTTTCCCAACCCTCGGACACGGATATCCCGGCTAGTGGGACCGTTCCAGAAAATTCAAAGACTGGTACTGTGTCTTAATCTTATGTCTCTCATAAAGACACTTCTAAACGGGGGGCGTCGCCGTCACCAGTTGGAAAATTACAAAAACGAGCCGTAGAACTAGAAAAGTGGATCAAAAATGACTTGGCAGATTCTGAACCATTTACGACAACTCAAGATGTCTATTCTTTAGTTAAATTTGAATCTTAATCAGAGTTTTTAGGATTTAGTCCCCAGCCCAACCAAAGAGATTAATGACATTATTATATGAACTATAAAGTTGTATTCCATATACATATAAAAACTTAAAACTCCAGGTTGTATGTGAGTCATCAATTTATTTTATTAATAAATGTATGTATAATAATATATATAAACATAGTAAATTTCAACAGTTTTTTGGTTTAATATACTTTATAAAGTATTTGTCAGGCTAAAAATCTGAAATGTCCGGCCGAAAATCAGTTCAGCCTGACATGATGTCAGGCTGAACCTTAGCAGTTATTTCAAGGCTTGCCCAAATGTCTGATTAACCCACAATAAAGTTAAAGATACATTATGGGAGATTAGATAAAGAGCTGGCAGTTCTCACTATAATAGTTAAAAACTAGATAATGAAAAGGGAATCTGCTAAAAATTTCAGTCAAATTGATTCACTCTGAACCAAGATTTTAGCGACTGAATTTTCGGCCTAGCTTCGATCATCGTTACTCAAGTCGGTACAATAAAAAACATAGTCTTGATTATCCATTTCATGATTAAATCAGGAATGGAAGTCTAACAGCAAATCGGAACCTAATCCAATAAACATCGCAGGCTAGCGAAGACATCGAGATTTGATATTGGTCTGGATAAGTTAATTAATGCCTAATTAATAATTTAGATAACATTTCAGACCTAAATAAAGACATGCAATTGGCAGATTTAGCTCTTACATAATGCATGTTTATTAACAAGTATTGTCTAGTCAAGTATTTACATTCAATGGGCGTCCTCCCTGAAGGAATTCCTACCAGGTGTCGCTAGTAAAAACTTGGTTCCACGTGACCTTATCGATGGTAAGAGACCGGTATCGGTATTAAATTCCATATTAACGACAAAAACTAACATTTGTCAACACACGATTTCGTAATGAATGTACAGGTAAACTGTGCTATAAGGTAAACAGTGAGGTCACGAGGATGCCCATTACTATAAATCAATAAAATTGGGTTTAACATCCTACTTTTCTGCTCCAACCGGGCTAATGTATAAAATTTTGCCTCGACAGCGGCTTTTCAATCTATTCTTCAAGGATTCTTTCATGTGTACTTCAACAAGATAACTGACTACCAGATGTCAACTAATAGAATGTTGGGGCAATTACCAATGTGTTTCACAGAGTATGACGAAAGTCTTCTAATATCTCTGTAAAAGATGACTGCCTTCAACACACGACGTCAAATCATGCCGCGTCAATCATTGGCTCAATGGCGCGTGCATTGTTTACATAAGACGTTACTGATTCGAGCAGAATGGGGTCTTTTACTCATTTTAATACCCATTTACACTAAAATAGGAAATAATTTTTACCTACAAATACTTCAAATGTCTTTATTTATTTTTCTAATACATAAAAAAAATGTTTTAGAATTTAATTTGTCGCAGGAAAGAAGTTAATATTTGTGGCTCATTAAGTCGCATCGATGTCATCCTTATCAGTGATTGTCGCGGCCTAGCGAATATTCACTGCGGATCAGTGTGGGCTGATACATGAATATTCATTATGAAATCTATCTGATAAACCAACAATAATGTTCAAGATACATTATGTAAGAACTATAGCAGGTCCTTATTTTGACTTCAAATGTTATATAAACTATTATTTAAATACTTATTAATATTACAATTTAATGATCTAATTTAAAAATGGAGAAGTGAGACTTAGTCTTGAATAGCAAGTACTGTTGTTACAATAATAAACAATCAATGCACACATCTTGTCAAAACTACAGTGATAACTTTGCTCAGAATAAAGTAATATGAATGAAGTTTTCAATATATTCATTTTGCATTATCTATTTTTGAGCTATTATAGCAAGAACAGCCAACACTTTATCTAAATCTTACATAATGTATCTTTAATTATTACAGTGTGTCAAACACTGAGCCGAAGTTAATATCTCAGCAAGTGCATTTTTATAGTTTTCCCTTTGCAAATGTCGAGATAGAGAGAAATGAGGTTTAGCATAAAGTTGACACAAACTAGGTCAGTTCGGGACTTACATATGGTTCAATTCTAATTGAATAATTTGCTTGTGCATATGGGTCTTTAGCAGTGTGGGAGGAAGCAAGAGGACTCAATATAGTCTTTCAAATAACATTGACATACCTGTGTTTCTAATTATATAATCTAGAACTACCAGTCTTTCAAATAACATTGACATACCTGTGTTTCTAATTATATAATCTAGAACTACCAGTCTTTCAAATAACACTGACATATCTGTATTTCTAATTATATAATCTAGAACTACCAGTCCTTCAAATAACATTGACATACCTGTGTTTCTAATTATATAATCTAGAACTACCAGTCCTTTAAATAAAACTGACATACCAGTATTTTTAATTATATAATCTAGAACTACCAGTCATTCAAATAACACTGACATATCTGTATTTCTAATTATATAATCTAGAACTACCAGTCCTTCATATAACATTGACATACCTGTGTTTCTAATTATATAATCTAGAACTACCAGTCTTTCAAATAAATGTTGGAATTTCTTCGCTGTAGATTCAGGTAGAGCCTCATTTTCAAACCGTCTCAGCCAATAATCTGCGTCTTTATATCCATTTACGAATAATTGAAATGAACCAACTTTTGGCGGTAAACCTAAACGTTTAAAATGTTTTGCCACTGACGGCATATTATCACCAATATTTTTCTTTACAGTCACTTTGGTTCGATCTAAAGCATTGTAATTAAAAGTTTTACTCGCTAATTTTACCACCTGAAACAAAAAAAATTTCATTTGTCATTTGTTAATTCTTATGTCATTATGTTATCTATCGAGGTGAATAAATATTGTTAAGGAGAAGACTACTGTCATTGACTTGTAACATGTCCATCTATACAGTTTACCAGTCTATCCTCGACATTGACTGTTGACTAATCTAATTTAGCCATTAATCAATTAATCAATTTGTGTTAATTTTCAGGTAAATTGGTCTTATTGAATGTTGTTATTAGCATTAAACTTTATAATCCTCAATTAAATTAGATTCCCTTTAGGTACATGTAAATAAGGGGTATCTCTGGTTGATCAGCATTAACTAAATATTGTTGTGTACATGTATATATTGTCTTGTTATATTTTCATATTTTATCATTACTTGATAATGACTAGAGAAGCCCAGTCGAAAAGTCGCTCAGTAATAAGCAGTAATTGTATTCCATAGAATTGTGACCTGTATACTCTAGTTCAATTACTAAATGCCATTGAAACAATTTATTCTGTCAAACACATTTCTATCAGCAGTGTGCGATACCCAAGTCAGGAAAGAGAGAAAGAGAGAGAAATGAGGTTAAACATCCACTGACACAAACTAGGTCATTTCAGGACTAAAGTCCAAAAGGACAAGTACAAGTCCATGACTGAGATTTTGTCAGTTACAAATAAAATCACTATTTCAAGGCCTGGCGATGGCAGTAGTACTTCAACTCAATCTTATTAAAATATAGAGTTATATTTCATTTCCTTCAAATTATATCGTACTTTCAATGGTCTACACTACATGGAGATCTGATTGGTTTTAGAAGGAGGTCCAGGGGTCACAGAAGTGGCATTTGTTCCTATGACGTTAGTCATTCGATTAACCAATCAGCATTGGTTTATCAAGTGTCTATTCGGATATACAACTTTGGCTTTGTATCGCTGTGAATCTCTACCCACCGTTCCAGGTGACATACGATAGGAACTCGACTCAACAGTCAATCTGATTGGATCATCTCTCACAACAACTAGAACATGGGTTATTTAATAACTCTTCTAGTTCCTGGTGTAGTGAAGATAAGCAAAATGAAATTTTGAAATATAACGAAACAAATTAAGATCTGCATTTTAATCAGATTGGTTGTATGTATTCATACGCTGCTTGGGATTTACTTACTTTGGTTTTAGGTACTATATTAAGCAATAATTTTTGGTCTACTAAACTAGCTCCCGCTTCCGAGAGATAACCTTGATTTAAAACAAGACATGACCGTCCAAAACAACATGGACAACACAATTTCTGCATCCATTTTGTCCATTTGGGATTTAACTGTCCGTATGGTTCTTCATCCTTTGGTTTGAACACACCAATAGTTTTCTGAAAATAGATCATAAATCAATAAAAATTAACGTTTGACTTAATCTTAATTTTCTAAGTGAGGCGATGTTTGTTTTAGTTGTGTGAAAAGAAAAGGAGAGAGAGAGAGAGAGAGAGAGAGAGAGAGAGAGAGAGAGAGAGGGAGGGTTTAATGCCACTTGACCCAAACTAGGTGATTTTGGGACTAACATACACATACAATTCAATATTTTTATATTTCTATAATTTGCTTGAGCATAGGAGTCTTTAGCAGTGGGAGGAAATCCATGAGGTTGGAAGGCTCGCATTAACCAATCCCTCTGAAAAGGAAATAAAACTGGGTTTAATGTATTACTTGAAGCCGTTGACTGAAGAAAAACAGGGGCATTGAGTCAACTGGCGTGGTTTCGAATCCCCGGTTGTAACTGACCAGGTGTTGGGTCACCTGTCCAACCTCGTGCGTTTTCTCCGGATTTCTCCCACTGCTAAGGACCCCTACGTGCAAGCGAATTACAGAAACAAAATTGAACCATGTTAATCCCGAAATGACATAGTTGGTGTTGAGTGGACGTTAAACCCTATTTCTCTCTCTATGGAGAAAAACTAAACGTTGAGGTAGATGGAAGTAATCTGTGCAGTAACTGCCGTCTTGAAGATCTAAAGATGGTCAGCAGATTAGTGAGTGATGTGGAACAATTAAGTAAAGGATCCCCCAACATCTATAAAATGACCTTACATTTTTTTTTTTCTAATATTAATAGACTTTAGATGTATCTGATGTAGGTCGACTAAAGGCTGTGACGTTATCATTAAATCGTATCTTATCAACAGTCTCTGTTCTTCTTGTGTTAGGGGATCCTTAATTTATTTATAATCAATTACTTTTCTGCACTTCCCAGGCTCATCACGAGATTCACGACCGACACTCTCAGTAACTGTCAATGAGATATTTAATACAGATGACATGACATTAGTATGTACAAATATAATGTATATTATTAAGGGGGGTGGGCATAGTTTATAGTTGACATTAGTATGTACGGATATATTGTATTATATTATTTAATATAGATGACATTAGTATACCACAGGTTTATAGTTGATTGATATAGTGGTGTGGTATATTATTTCAGTAACTGTATAGGAAGTATTTGATAAATGATATAGATAACTTGTGTGAATATACATGTAATTATCATACATTAATTTAGTATAGGATATTGTGTGGGCGTATTTTAATGTGGGCGTAGAAAAAGGATACATGATGAAAAATATGCCTTTGTAAGCGTATAGAAAATTGACAAATTGATGAGGATAATATTGTGTTAATCCCCAGAAAAGTTTTTATTGTAGTGAAGGTATATCTTAAAAAAAAAAAAAAACTGCCAATAAAAAAGGAGGGTGTGCAACCCTCCAACCCCCAACCTCTGTATCCACCCCTGGTCTACATGTATGGTATAATACCAGTATTTATGAATCATTTTTATTGATATAAATTTATATGATATTTTAATGTATCAGTACATGTATATATAATATTATAATGTATATCTGATGTTGAATAGTTTATTATTATAAAGTATATAACAGCGAATATACATAGGACATATAATCAATATAATGACTAATATACACCAACTTTACTGCCTGTCGACATGTATAACACATCTTTATTCAATGGGTTTAATAGACTTGAAATTCAGTCTAGTAGTCCCATACGTCATGAAGATCTGACCAGTTGCAGTGAGAGGAGTGGTCATACGTGCGGCTTTGGACCCGTTGACGTCAGACATTTCATTAACCAATTAGCATTGATGTTTCTAGTAAGTTACCCACAGTTCCGTGTACCTCATGCCAAAAATTTGCCTTAACAGACCGTTTCATTGGCTAATCCCTCACAACATCTAGAACGCGGGTTATATAACAACTCTTCCAGATACTCGTGTAGTAACGATAAGTAAAACGAAATTTTGAACTATAAAAAATGAAACGAAATAGGATCTGTATTTGAATCAGCTTGTCAGGTACACCAAAGATCATTATTTCCACACCTGCCCTGAAACTATTCAAATAGTCGACTATTTCCAGACCCGCCCTAATAACTATTCAAATAGTCGACTATTTGTGTGAGCTGTTAATACCGGACAATGGGAATATATCAACTCACCCCTTCTGTGTCTTTTATTAAATATGTTCCACTGGAGCCTTTATAACTTAACTGTGGATCTATCTCTTTCTGAATGATCGCCTTCTCTACATTATGTACAATTGCTTCATATTCGGGATCTTCTTTAAAGGCGTTGACAGTTTTCCACGTCGAGGTGTCTACTATGGCACCATAGTAACTGTCATTGCTGATCGTTCTATTCATTGGTGTTTTAACAGACTTCGGGGGTGAGGGAGTACCCACAAAAGCAAATTTATTCGCTGGATTTGAGGTAGATGGAGTTTCTGGTGTTTCATTGGACGCTGATGGAGTTTCTAGCATTTCATTGGAGGCCATGTTTTTAAATTTGAACCAATCAAATTAAAGAATCAGTTGTTTGAATGAGTATAGTCTATATCTATACATATACCAGTAGAAGTCCAATAGTCCTTTTCAAGTACATGTATGTCATTCCTTACTGAGCCGTAAAAACACTAACCGATGAATCAATTACTTAAAACCTTTATTTGTCCAGTTGATGTACTGTATTAGAAAAAGAATATAACCCTTTAAAGGTCACCGGAAAAGCTTCATAACTTTATTTAAATAATGCAAGTAATTATGTCAACATATCCTTTCCATACATGTAAGTATAACACGAACACGAATGTCAATATTACTGGCAACAGGTAAATTTCAATATTACCTGAAACAGGTAAATTTAAATATCTGCCGTTCTCTGTGGAGAGTCGTAACTTTCCGCCAATAAACAATAATCTTAGTCCTTCTGCTCATACAACTATAGACTAGAATATGAGCAGAAGGACTAAAATGACGTCACAGATTGTTTATTGACGGAAAGTTACTCACGGAGAACGACGGAAATTACTTGAAATTTACCTGTAGCAGGTAATATTGACATTTGGGTTCATATCATACATATGGAAGGATATGTTGACATAATTACTTGCATTATTT